ATAAATATTAGAATCAATAATATTAAAAAAAAATTTTCCAAATCAAATCAAAATTATTGAAAATTGACCAAAGCTCAAATCCAAATCAAATAAATCCTTACACGTTAAACCCACGAGAAACCTGTTATCAAGAGGTGCAATTACCACTTGATAAAACTCCAATGTAGCTATCACCTCGTGGATCACACATATATTGGGTCCTCTTAATTATTTTCAGTTGGTACGAAATCATTCAGATATGATTTCCGTGACAAATTTTGAGTGTAACGCAATATTCACCTCAACCAGTTGAGACATTGTCTGATAACCATGAAATTTGACTCTCCAATTCTTGGGTTTTGCCTCTCTCTTTATAAGGTGTAGAATGTGGGTTTTCTTTCGAATGAACCTGGTTCTAAAGAATGCTAACTGGTTGACAATTGCGGAAGTTTTTGTGCATATCTGTACCATGAAGCCAATCAAAATGTGAATGGACTAGACATAAAGGGCAGTAGTTTAAAATTTGTAGTGAAATTAACTTAATTACCTCAATGGAATTGAACTGAAAAATGCAATTTTCTATTCAGACAAAATTCATAAGTTCTAAGTTCATTAAGAAAGATCAATGCCTGTCATATTAATGCAAAATTATTGATAACAACAAGAAGGATACTTTTAGAGATGATATAGTCTAGAGTCCATGCATCTAACCCACTCTCTTGACATAGATCGGAGTTCAATGAGCGTTAAACTCAAGTCTATTGGCCAAAAAAAGGAAAAAAAAAAAGACTCAAGTCTATTCAAAAAACCAAAGATTGGACTCCAAATCAGTGATGTCGAATTGATTATCCACGGACGCTAAAACCGCCAGAAACAAGTCATCAAGAGGTGAAACTACCACATACGACAATACCCAATTGTTTAGCAAATCAAGGATAAGGATCAGACAAGTATCAGGGTATTAATAGTCCTCTATATTATTTATTTACAGCTGGTACGAAGTCAATTAATCAGAGATACCCACCAAATGACACAACTTAAGACTTGAAGGAAAAATATGATTGCTGAAGAATCGTTATCAGAATCAAATCATTGTGCCTTAAATACAACTTTTTTGGATTCAGTTAGGTTTGCATCGAGGTGGAGAAGATCTCAATTACATACAAGCAATTAACAGCAGAAGAAACATAGCTTTAATATCTGATTCTAGTAATGGTTTCTGGCAAAGAATACGTTGTCCTTCACGAGTAACGTTTCTAGAAACAATCTTCAAATTTTTTGTGTTTAAAATAACTTGAAGAATACGGCAAAAGTAAACTTTGGTTTGTGGACTGATGAGTAAACACTATGAAATGATGAGTAAACATCAACACTATATGTCTGGAAAGAGAGGAATTACATTTTTTTAGCAACAAGGTTACTAAAATTGGGGGTTATTATAACTTTATCCCTTTAAACTATAGTGCTAATATCAATTTACCTTTTTAACATTATTTTGCAGGCATTTGACCTCGCAGTTATTCTCCTTTTTCATTCTAAGAGGACCAAGAAAAAATGCAAAAGGGTTCCCTTTTTTTTTCATTCTCAACTATTAAGAAAAAAAAAGAAATTGAATAGAGGTTGACAGAAAACTCAATTTCAGAAAAAAGGAAAATAAAGAAGAATCCAATATTATAATTAATTTAAAATAAGTTAGAGTGGGCGGTAGGGGTGAAGAGTAAGTAGCAATTTTAAAATAATAAGCACATTGGATTCTTTATTATTTTTATTTTCTTTTTTTAAAATTGAGTTATCTCTCTATTTTCTTATTTTAAGTATTGATAAGTACACGAGGAAAAAAAGAAGAAGACATTTTTTTTTGACTTTTTCCCCTTGTTATTAAAGAGGGTGGAAAAAAGGGAGAAGACACTTTTTTATTTTTTGTCTTGGTATTAAAAGGGTGAAAAAGGGGGAAAAAACCATTCCAATTTTTTTTATTTTTAATCATACAGGAGAGGGATGTATTTCTTCTAAAATATTAGGTAAATTATATATAATTTTCTGTATTTTCATCTATTGCCACATGATCTCCAAAACATTTTAGGGTTATATGCAGCTGATGTAAGGGAAAAAATTCATATTAATACCTCAAATTTCCCTTAAGGAGTTTTTATATTTAAATCAAATTATTCAATGAATATATTTTTGTTTTTCTCCTAGTCTTAAAGAGTCTTGCCACAGGCCTAAATCATTTCCGCTATATTGCTTTGGCCAAATTTACAATCGTATATTTGTGTTTGTAGCCGTTGATTGAACTTTGGTCTTAGGAAAAATGATAACAAATGGAAAGAGTGAGATACAAGTCAATTAAAAAACATGATTAACACTAGAATTTGTGAGACATGGAGACTTGGATTATAAAAAGGATAAGAAAACTTGAATAGGTGAAAAAGGGTGGATTAAAACTATACGAAAGAAGTAGCATAACAGTGATATAGCATTTGGTGATGGGAAGATTCTTGGTGATGTGTTTTTTAAGTTTGATAGGCATTTTATTACTTTTGGGAAGATTATTATAATCATTTTGAGTCCTTAACAAAAGCATGGAAGTGTAATATTTGAATATAGAGGTGGGCAACATGAGATTATTAGAAATCTTAGAAGAAGTTTTTGAAAATATCCTTTGCTGTAATACTATTCTTTTTTTTTTCCTACCTTGTGATTATTGATTTCCACATTCACACTCAAAATGCTAAGGCAAAAAGCAAAATTCAAGGATGAAAAATGAAAGAAAAAGAGACAAGGTTATAAACATGGGGAAAGACTCTAGATTTGATTAATGCTAAAATATTATAAAATGATTATAGCATTTCTTTTTCATTTTTTATGAGTGACATTTTTTTAAAAAAAAAATTTAGTAGGGGAATGATGGGATTTAAAAAGCGAAAAAAGAATAGGGAGATCAAAATTCAGGATCTCTAATTCCTGGGAGTAACATGATAATATTATTTCTAAAAACCCAAAATCAAATCCTATTGGTGTAATATAAAGGAATTCGGATGATCGAAGTGTTTAAAACATAAAATACTTCTTAATTATAATATCTTATTCAGGATAAGAAAACTTGAATAGGTGAAAAAAGGTGGATTAAAACTATACGAAAGAAGTAGCATAACAGTGATATAGCATTTGGTGATGGGAAGATTCTTGGTGATGTGTTTTTTAAGTTTGATAGGCATTTTATTATAATCATTTTGAGTCCTTAAAAAAAGCATGGAAGTGTAATATTTGAATATAGAGGTGGGCAACATGAGATTATTAGAAATCTTAGAAGAAGTTTTTGAAAATATCCTTTGCTATAATACTATTCTTTTTTTTTTCCTACCTTGTGATTATTGATTTCCACATTCACACTCGAAATGCTAAGGCAAAAAGCAAAATTCAAGGATGAAAAATGAAAGAAAAAGAGACAAGGTTGTAAACATGGGGAAAGACTCTAGATTTGATTAATGCTAAAATATTATAAAATGATTATAGCATTTCTTTTTCATTTTTTATGAGTGACACTTTTTTTAAAAAAAATGTAGTAGGGGAATGATGGGATTTAAAAAGCGAAAAGAGAACAGGGAGATCAAAATTCAGAATCTCTAATTCCTGGGAGTAACATGATAATATTATTTCTAAAAACCCAAAATCAAATCCTATTGGTTTAGTAATATAAAGGAATTTGGATGATTGAAGTGTTTAAAACATAAAATACTTCTTAATTATAATATCTAATTCATTAGTCGAATGTGGAATCTTATGTTTGTTGCCCCTTTCTTTTTTGCTTTGGATTTGGGTTTTTGGCGTTGAATTTTGAGTATGAATTGAGTAAGATTATAGCATGAGAAGGTTCATCATGTTCATTTAATTAAGGTCTTCCTGCATTTAAAATGGGAGCTTACATGACATAAAAAAAGATTAAAATGGTAATACTTTACAAAAGAGCATCATAGTGGGAACATTTTTCCTAAAAAAGGTCACTTCAGAACTAAATTCCGTGAATCCCTGGTTTCATGTGGGTTTTCTTTTCATGGACGTACGTGATTAACATCATGTCTCTTATCATTTCGATGAGGATTATTAACATCCAAGTCCTAGAGCCTGATTGCATTAGTACTATCCTTGGCCTTGGGTATAATATCACAAGTTCCTCCCTGTAAATGTTGCAATGCGTTTTAAGAGAGTGAGAATTAAGTATATCACGGGGAAAAAAAAATTAATGGCAAAGTAACTTACCAGAACAACCAACAGATGGAGGAGGATAATCCAACAAGCAAGTCCTTTGGAATCCATCAATTGGTAGGTTTTATATCCCTTGCAACTCCTCCTTTGAAGGATTAGGCAACAGCAGAAGCAAATGCCAAATATTACATATGGATGAAAAGTGTGCTTGATTAGAAGGTTCTTTTTCAAATAGTCGATTAAATTATGACCCCTTGAAAGATAGTGTTTCTTATTGAGGTTGAAAAATGAACCAAATTACTTGATACTCAAATCAGATTTGGCTAAATAAAAGTTTGTTTGAACTTAATTTGCCAACTAATCAAATCAAAATTTAAGAAGTATTATTATGTGTTAGATTAACTATCAAATTTGGCATTAACTTGGCTTGATAAACATAAAATTAGAATTTACAAGTAAAAAATTCAAATTACTCAAGTTCGACTCATGCTCGATTCTATAAAAAAGCTCATTTGAGTTTGCCTTAATTAATAAACAAGTCAAGTTTGAAGACCTTCCTCTTAAAAAAATTTTAAAAAACTCAAGTTTGAGTACAGTTTCAAGTTTATTAAATAATCTAACAAGTTTGAATACTACAACATTGAATCTAGTAGATCTAGACAAAATCACTAAATTTATTTTAGACCACAACTGTAGATTGTTTAGAAAACAAGGACCAAAATGTAGACCTACCCACATGATGCAAACCAACCAGCCACGTGATCCATGTTGTAACCTTGCTAGCTTCACTTAGCTATCGCCTTGTATAAATAGCCGTATAGCCCCCAAGAGTCTTTTCACCACCAAAGTTACATTTTGAGTCTGTTCATAGGCAAGGCATGGCTTCATCTATCACTCTGATCGCAGTCTTTTCAATTGCCCTGGTAAGGTTTCTCAACAATCAATACTGTACTTGAAGTAGTAGTTCATATGAGATAATTGCTAGACTGTATAGGAATACTGATGAAACCCGTGAATTAAAGCTACCTGAGAAAACACATTCTTCTTCCTTTTTGCACATTTATCTGCAGCTCTAACCATCGCCACTGAAGGAATGGAAGCTCTTCAGATGGTTCTGTAGTTCTATTCTCATAAAAGCTTGACTTCCAAACATTACCAATGCTGGTACCATACTTAAACGTCAATGTAACTTGAGTAATGGCATATGACACTATTTACCATTTTTTAGTTAGAGGATTCATCCGGGAAAGATTGAAAGTCAAATCAAGAACCTTAAAATCAACATAAGGAATATTCCTGTTGCCAGTTGAGCTCGTATTTGGAAATTAACTATCCTTCCCTACTAGGGGTCATCTTTTACGGTGCTACCATCAACGTACCTATATTGACGTTAGTTTCTTTTATGTTAATATTTGCACAAATGTGCAGTTTGCATGCATCACGGAAGCAAGGAAGAATCCTACGGACTTTTTGCAATCTGCTGTCATTAACGAGCATACTGAGGACAATCACCATGCAGAGTCGTCCCTTTCCAATCAGAAGAAGACAAGTAATGGTAACACATTGAAGGATTTCGAGTCGAAACCCGGCTCCTTTCTCTGGGGGTATCAAGGCAACGACGCTGAGTCTAAGTCTAAGGAGGAGAAGCCTCTTATGAAAGGCTTTGAGTCAAAGCCCGGCTCCTTTCTTTGGGGGTATCAGGGCAACGACGCTGAATCTAAGTCTAAGGAGGAGAAGCCTCTTATGAAAGGCTTTGAGTCGAAGCCCGGCTCCTTTCTCTGGGGATATCAAGGCAACGACGTTGAGTCTAAGTCTAAGGAGGAGAAGCCTCTTATGAAAGACTTTGAGTCAAAGCCCGGCTCCTTTCTCTAGGGGTATCAAGGTCCTCTTATGAAAGACTTTGAGTCGAAACCTGGCTCCTTTCTCTGGGGGTATTAAGGAAACGACGCTGAGTCTAAGTCTAAGGAGGAGAAGCCTCTTATGAAAGACTTTGAGTCGAAGCCCGGCTCCTTTCTCTGGGGGTATCAAGGCCCTCTTATGAAAGACTTTGAGTCAAAGCCCGGCTCCTTTCTCTGGGGGTATCAAGGCAATGACGCTGAGTCTAAGTCTAAGGAGGAGAAGCCACTTATGAAAGACTTTGAGTCGAAGCCCGGCTCCTTTCTCTGGGGGTATCAAGGCAACCACGCTGAGTATAAGGAGGAGAAACCACTCGTGAAAGATAATTAATGTCCAGGGAAGCCGCAACTTTACCTCTGAATGAGCTACGGACATATATGTCTTCTGGCTGGTCTGATTTTCTCCATTTTCTTTATTGGCATGAAAATGTGTGATATGTAATAAATGCAGTTCTTCTTTCAACCAAGCGTTCCGTATAATTAATTAAATGAAGTCAGTACCGTTGAGTGCATTTTCTGTTTCTTTGTTTGTTGTTTCTTTTTGCCATTGACGGGTTTTTACTTTAAGTGCAAGTTTAATTCCGATTTTACACCCGTTGGACTGCAAGTATACAGGTCGCAATTGTAGTACAAGATGTGTATCGGGTCGATCCCACGAGGAGCAATTTAAACAATTACTAAGCCCTTATTCTCTCTATTATTTAGACTTACAATTAATTTGAGCAGAGAAAGTCTAATGCTGTAATCTACAAATCTGATATACAAATCTAGTTTAACAAATACTGAATACAAATAGAGAAATTTTACTTAAGGAAGATTCTAGGGATGTAGATTCCACTTATGGCATAAACTACACAAATGAATGGATTTACTCCTTGCTATTATTCTTGCTTAACCAGAGATTTATTTCCAAGAATACCAAGTCTCATTTTCATGATGAAATGGCTTAGAGCAATATAGATTTCCCTATTTTCATGGTGAAATATTCTACTACTCCGTTTTATTTCATGAAATGCTCAATAATCCACCTAAGTGTATCTCTATTTTCATGAACATACAACTCAAGCTCTACTCATGTGTTTCAATTGTTATTACCAATTCTCATTGAATAATAACACTATAAACATGCTATTGGTGATCAATCAATAACAAGTAATCACAGCTACACAAGTAGACAAGTTAATACAAGATATAACAAGTGTAGATCACATTCAATTAGTATTATTTAGCAATAAGTTTCATCTACTCCCTAGATGAAGGAGTTTAGCTACTCATGAATGATTTAACAATCAAACTCACAAGTTTATTAATGCAAAACATCATAAAGTACAAGTATGAGAAAGATAAAAGAAAGCTTAGCCAATTGAAGGTGAAGCTCTCCAATTCCTGCTATGTTCTTGCACAATATGATTATAAGTGAAACTCTCCAAAAAAATGCTTCTCCAAGTACTCCTATCTAGAGAGAAAAAATGTTACAAAATGAAAAACTAGCTACGTATGGTCCTCTTGGCTTCTCCCCTGTGTTTCTACATAAAATGTGGTAGAAATTCCATTCCTCTCACTTCATAATTTCCTCCACTCAGATTTTGTAAAAAGAAGTCAAAGATATGATGTTTCCTTTTGTCCACACTCATTTGGTCTTCTCTTTTGTTGCAGAAGCATGTGCCACCGATTTCTGTCCCTCAAAATAGCTGGAAAAGTTGTGAGAAAGGTAAAGAAAAACGGCTGTACCACTTGCTGAAGAGAGAGACAGATCCGAGCCTCGGATCCGAGGGCTGAAAATGGATCCGAGCTCGGATTATAGGATCCGAGGTCTTCCCTTGATAGATCCGAGGTCGGATCGTCCTGACCTCGGATACACTCCGCCAGAAGTACAGACGAGGGGTCGGATCCCTCTTATACACACGGATCCGAGCTCGGATCCGTGTTGAGCAATTTTCCAGTTTTTCACTTCTTCCCTTTTTCTACATTTTTGCTCCCAATTTCTTGTATACTTTGTCCTCTGGATGACCCTGACATTTCTTTCAACTTGTGCATGAATTTCATACATCAATTACCTTCACAATTTCACAAAATTAACGCATTAATCCACTCATTTATCAATTTCTTAACCCTTAAACAATATTTAAGCAATTATCACCAAAAGAGTTCAAATATGGCTTTAATCTTCTCAAAACATACCAAAAATTCATGCCAAATTCGTACAAAATGTACGTTAAATATTCACTCATCAGCCATTTACCATAGACAGGAAGCGCACAAAAAATGAGCTATTCAAGCATGACAAGAATCATAGAGTGAGCGAACCAACTATACCTTGATAATCTAAAAAGAGTTCTGCAAACTCGTACTCTCGTACTAAACCAGGACCATATATATATATAGATATGTCGATTCAATTTTCTAATGATGTGTGTGGTACGAACGCACATTAGAATTACAGAAAATTCTAGAGTAAACTTTCACAAAAGAAGGGAAAGAATGGAGAGCTCTTGAAGCGTGATTGATCGCTATTCTTAAGAATCCAATTATCCATACTACACTAAGTATTTGCTGTAGAGATAAAGGTAATTTAACTTTAGGATACAACAAGAGAAGAAGAAGTTGATAGCAATATCAAGTTTCTCAAACTAAGAAATGATCAAATAATTCTAGCTAGTTTTGACAATAAAGGCTTGTTTTTTTACAAGTAACCTGTTTTCCACTCGTCTCTAAGTATATATCCTTCGATACGTGGCACTTAATCCCAATTATTTGACTTTAAACTTCATTCTGTGATGTGGATTCTATGTGTTAGTATATACAAGACTAATCTTAAACATTACTTGAAAATCATATTATATGTAATTGAGTACCGCATAACTTGCAATTATCCACTTACGCTCTCAATATTATTGGGATATTACATGGATTTTCGTTTCGGTAACTCTAATTATATAGTCTCACGATCCATCTTAACTGAAGGGGCCATTATGAATTACCAATTATATAGTCTCACGATCCATCTTAACTGAAGGGGCCATTATGAATTAGATGAACATGAAGTTGAATTTCGATTCTCAAGCTATTCCCTTCCTCTTTCTTCATTGTAAGGATTAGAGTCTCTTTTGGAGGAAAAAAACACTCTAATTATACAGGATTAAAGCAAATAGCAATGGTTGATAAGTGACTAATTTACGTAATAATTGTATAATATTTTATATTATTTTTAGTCACTTTAGTTATATTATTGGAAGAAAATGAATGATTTTGGCTATAATTGGTGAAAAATACTTTTAAATAATTAAATGAGGTTTTTATCACTTTTTACTTGGATTTTGTGTATTTTGATAGTTTTGACATATTTTCGTATTTCGGCTATAACTTGAGTTACAATGATCGGATTGGGATGATTCTTGAACCCATTTGAAGATAAGAGATAGATCTACAACTTTGGTGAAAACATCTGAATCCAGTTTGAAGCGTTTCCAAGTCAAAAAGCCGAATTACAGTAGCAAATTTCCACTGGTCGAAGCTGAAACAGGGCAATGAGCAGGCAAGGGTATTTCGGTCATTTCTCAGCCTACACAGATCCAAATGAGGTGATTCTTGATGCATTGGAAAGCTAACTCAAAGGGCTACAAATTTCATGTTTTGATCAAGAGCTAAATCAGCTTTTATCATCAAGAAAAGTTCAGTGGAAGTTGATGCAAAATTGGAGCAGAGCTGGAAATTGAACCAGAAGTGATCAAATGGTCACTGTAGCAATCCGGCAGGAATTTGGCCGGATTTGTGGCCGGATTCCTGGCCGGATTGTGGTCAGAGAAGGCTGCTCTTTACGCGGAAAACTTAATTTCATCTCCACCAACTCACATGTGATGCTAGACATGTGAGAAACATTCTCAGCTGTAAAAGGGAGGTGTAAACCTCACTTCTTGACCAACTTTCATCATTATATAGCAAAAGCTTGCAAGATTGAAGGGAGATAGAGAGAGATACGGGAGAAAGCTTGGACTGCAAAAAATGTAGCTCTACCATTCTTCCTAGTGTTAGTTTAGCTTAGTATAGAGTAGGATAGTTCATCCATTCTTGTTATTAGCTAGATAAAGAAGAAGATAAAGGATGAAGAAGGCAAGGAAGAAAGCTCATGTGACAAGGGTTGTATTCCTTCCAAACTCTTTATCTTTTGTACTTGATTCCAAGTTTAGTTGATATGCAAGTTCTGGATTTTGTGTTCAATATGTGTCTCTAAAGTTTATACCTTGGGTTTGGTTGAACTTTCTATAATTGTTAGTGTTTATTATTTGGTTATTTGATTGCTATGATTTGAGCAAGTTATTTAGCACTTTGGCTCTTTAAATCATGATTAATTTGGTACCATTGATTGTGATTATCTAAGGTGTTGTTTCTGCAATGAAAATTGAGATTTAACACTGGTTCAAGAAGTGCTAAACATAGGGAATACACTCACGAGAGTAGAGCTACACCTATGTGGTTTTAGTGATTCATTCCATGTAATTTCACTGAAGAAATGAACTTGTAGCTAATTTCATAACCATGAGAATAGGTATGGATTAGTTATGAGTATAGTTGATTCACTACGAAAGTAGGTTTCACATGTTTAAGGAAATTACACCATAACTAGCTTAGATGTAGTATTCAATGATCCAAATATAGCACTTGCATGAGTAGTTAGGGATACCACAATCTAAGGAGCTTTTATTTGTTATTTTATATAATTTCAGTAGGTTAAATTTGTTATAATTCATTGATAGTCTAAATAATAGAGAAGCTTTCGTAATACCGGTAATTGTTCACTCTTCCCTGTGGAATCGACCCGATATATACCCTAAACTACTAGTTGACCTGTATACTTGCAGTGAATGGGTGTAATTCGATTTTTTTTTTTTTAACTTGCACGTATGTAAAATACCCGTCAATGGTCTATAAAAGCATAAAAAGTAAGCAGGCTGGGGCATATTTATTAAAACATGAAAATAATATGAAATTTTATAATACACATGATACGAATAATAAACTGTACGTAAATAATGCAAATATATTCGAAAAGTACAAAGCTGATCAAAATACAGCTTCATTTACCATGTGCATAATAGCTGTGTGCACATTCTAGTGAAGATTTTTTTATTTTTAGTGTAAGTGAGAAATTTCGAGTTCCAAACCTTTCACTTACACTCTTTTTTCCTATATCATCCAATCCATCCCTTCCCATATTTTTATGAAGATGAGCACATAATGTGAGTTTTTATTTTTTGAGGTGAATAACTTGTTCACAAAAAAGTTTTCTCGATTTAGGTAAAGTTTAAACTTTACCTTGTCTAAACAACGCAAGTAGATGCCACTAGGACTAGGGATGGCAACGGGGCGGGGGACCCCTCCCCCATCCCCCGCCCCGCTACCTACAAACTCCCCCCGTCCCCCGCCTCCCACTTCCCCTGCCCCGCCCCGCTTCCCCCGCGGGGTTAATAAAATTTTTCCCGCTAGATTAA